TTATAAAATAAATGTAATGCTCTCGTAATGAATATAATTAACATTTATTTCTCCAAATTCTATGTGAAATTTTTATATTTAAAATATATATATATGATATAAATCTTGTGCTATTTTAACTTCAAGAATTTACATATATGTAATCATAAAGTATTGAAAATTTCACGTATTTAATAAAAAAATTAAATAAATAAATATGTAAATAAATAAATATGCTTTATATAATAAATACTTTCCGATATATTTCAGTTTACAAATATAATCTAAAATATTTGATTTCTATTTGGTTCAAAAAAATTATTATTATACTATATAACAAGCAACTATTTACTTAATAGCAAATAATTAAATATTTTGCATATTATGAGACATAAAATGTTACAATAACATTTTTTAGTATCTATGTTATGTGCTATTAAAAGCTTTTCAATTTAGTAAGAGATGGGGTAGTATCTAAAATTTTCTTATTTATGTTCGAAATAAAATATAAGGCGATTTTGTTCTTTATGTAAAAAATAAAGTTTTTTAAATTGAAATATATATCATTAATTAAAAAGTTTAATTTATAATTTGTATGTTTGTTATATGATATATATATGATATATTTTATATATGATATATAAAAATGTTTTTTAAATTTAAATATCTGAAATCAATTACAAAAGGTAATTTATCATTTACATTTATTTGTTACCGTTGTTCTGCTTCTAGTTTTCTATGTCATTGGTCAACGAGGAAAACCTAAGCTAGTTGTTAAAGGGTACGAATATATTAAAAATAAAACATATAATAATAGAATCTATTGGAACTGTGCACATGCAAAATCCAGAAAATGTCGAGCCCGTGTGATTACATCAAAATCGTCGCGTACTTTAGATATAAGCAATATTAAGTTAACTACCCGACTACATAATCACTGTTAAAAAATCAAAACAGAGAATAAAAATTTTATATAAAATAAAATTATAAATATTTTTTATAAAATTAAAAAAGTTCACTTGTAAAACATATTTGTGTAAAATATTGCAACTTTTTTCCATAAATTTATTTTACGATATTATTTAACTAACAATATAAAAATATTTCTTATTTAATTTACAGATTTCTTATATGAAAAAGGTGGTTTAACAATAGTGACTGGAAATAAAGGAAAACCAAAGCTATTACTAGCTGGATATGCATATTTTCGAAACAACTGCAAAGGAACAAAAACTTATTGGTTATGCTCTAAGAATCGATACAATAGATGCAAAGCACGTATTATAACTTGTTCAACCACTGGTGAATTAATGATAAAAAACCAAAGCCATAATCATGGTCCATTGGATGATAAACAAGATTATGATTCAATGTAAAAGAAACTGCTATTAATTTATTTTTTTAAGATAGCTTATTTATAATTACATTAGATAATAAACACAAAATAAATTGAATGTATAAAATGAAAATAAGTAATTTTGCTCTACTTGGTAATTTAAGAATTTGATAAACATTAAAATGTATATTCGTTTCCCATTTTCTTTAAGTTCTTCAATTTTTACTCCTTATATTTCAGATGTTGACTTTTTGGAGGATGTTGGTGTAGTAGTTGAACCAATTCAATACGTACTTGGGCAACGTGGTGCTCGTAAACTTATTTTAAATGATTACTCTTATATATGTGCCAAAAAAAAACGAAATCGTAAGTACTGGGTTTGTTCAAAGCAACGTAGCAAAAATTGCAAAGCACGTATTATCACTAATCTGACGGAGGAAGAAGTTACAAAGCGAAATGTCGAGCATAATCATTGGCCATAATCAGAAACTTAGAAATATTTAACATAGAAGTGTAAATATTAATTGTTGGCGAAGTTTGAAAAGTGGAAATGTAGAATCTTAAAAATATTATTTAAAAAATTTCAAAGCCGATAGGTATGCTTACGTTTTAATTATTAATTGAACATATTGTAAAATAAAAAAGTTTAAAATAAGAATTCCTTACGTAGGACTGTTTTACATAGTTTATAAAAAAATATGAAATATTTATGAATATAAATCATGAATTATATCAAATCGTATTTCTAACTTTATGATGTAATTTGACAACGATTCGACTGTTTAACATAATAGTTGTGTTAATAGATCGGAAAATAGATCGGTTTCTTCAAGATTCTTAATAATATGATTAGTATATATTAATATATTTTGCAATAGGATCCAATATATGTGTTTAATCTAGAAGCTTTTTTTATATGAAAAAGGCAAATTATTGTATGAAGATACAATAATTCACACAACACATCCTATTTGATCTTTGTTATGCGAGAAATTTCATGAATGTGTAAGTTCACGTTTTGGCTATCAACATAACCTGATTTGTAAGCACTGAACTTTTCTGGGATAACGTAAAGTTTCGTGTTTATGCGGACAATCATCAAACGAACATCTGCAAATTATCGTAATCTTCTCAAACAGCTCAGTTGCCATCAAATTTCTGGTAAGCGCCACAGCTATATTTGCCCGTTATTTGATTTGACGATCTTCCCATGGCAGACATTCTGCTTCTTGACAATTATTTTTCGGATATATCTAAATATAGCTAAGCAAACTTGGACAGATAAAAATTTCTGTCAGATCACAAGGTCGATCTGGTCCAAACTGGAGAAGAAACGTGCCAGTCAACTGCTTTAACTAAAGCGTAAACTGCTCAGCACTATTGTATCGGTGCTTACAGATCACTGTGTAGTGGGAAGGCATATTATAAGGACTGAGTTTAGTTGGAGTTGTGGAGAAAACTATACTCTATCTCATGTATCTACATTACCAATCTGGGATAAGCTGTAATCCTGCAAAAACAGGAACTTGGCCAAGATAGACTTATGAATGATTGAATCTCTCACTGAATGATATATTCGTATATTTCGTTATTCAACGCTGACCACATATTTTATCCTCATTATTACATCATTTTATTTTCTATATAACTAACACTGTGTTTTTGCCTGCTTTAGAATTAATCTCAACTTAACTCATCATTGCTACATCATTGTCGACACAATCTATGCATCTTAGTTGTGGTCTTCTTCTATGATCTTAATAACTCCTTACACGCAATACATATTTGGTAATGGATAATCATTAGTTGCTCTTATTATTGCAAATTTTTCTGACAATCATTTTTTAACACACAAAAATTAGCAGTATTTTTAATATAAACACAAAAACACTAACAGTTGTGTAGTATTAGTATATAGTTAGAACAGAATATATATTTTATAATCAAATATTGAAATGTAATTATTATACTAATTCGTAAAATTTGAAATGTGTGTTCCAATAAGGTCTGTTTTTTAATAGTTTTGCACTCCGAATTCATCTTGCCCAAAATCTTGAACGTATGCTCTAAAGGTATGTATAAAATAATTATAATGAACAAATTTGTGTACCTATGTTCATTAATCTCATATATACTATATGCATATCATAGGTTTAGTTTAATTACTTTATTAGTTTCATATATTGCCTTATACTTATTTTTATATACAATATTATCTTCTATAGTATTAAGTGAAAATAATTTTACAAATCAAAAAAATAATTATTGTAGAATTATTAAAATTATTGGAAAGAAGTCTTATAACATCTATGGCATTATTGATGGAAAAATGTTTGTAACATGACTAAGATGACTAAGATATCTATAAAAGCTATTAATAATATTTATAATATCTTTATGTTCATGGTATGTCAGGATATCCTATAAAGATATTAAATTTACTTGATGACAATCGTAAGACACGAACGATGGTTCCATTATATATATATATCTACATTTGCAACATTATTAGAACAAAGTGGCAAATATAGGGGATAGATATTTCAACCCGATGTTATAGTCTATTTCATTAAAAAAGGTCACTGAACAAAAACAAATTATATGCTAAAAAATAACTAAAACTGGTTTTATTATATATTTGATTGTTGCATTATAGCCCTTCTGTATTGAAATCCACTATATTATAGTAGGCATTAATCAGCATAGCTATGTTTTAATTTAAAATTACTTAATTAGATTATTGATTCGAAATTAAATACTAAATTATAACTAAGTTCATATATACATATAAGTTTATATATTTAAAAATGAAGAATTTGAATTATCTTAAGGTTTGAATTTGAACAATTTATTCCGATCTGTACTTTATTCTTATACTATTATCTGTATTTAGCATAAACTAAAAGTTTAAATACATGTTTATGAAGGCTGCACATGCGCTTTTCCTCATCTCTAGTATAATGAAGATATTGATAAATGTTTAAAATTGTACAGTGGAAAATCTGTACAGATATATTTTTATAGTTATAACTAGAATTTGTAATAAGTTATGTTGAATATTATTAGGTGATCTGTAATAACTAAGAAATTGAAGTTAACATTCATTGAAAGAATTTTTGTTAAAAATATTCTTAATAATTTTTAAAAATAATCAAACACAGTCACTTTGTGGTAGCTGGACTTTATTTCTTTAATAAGCTAATAAAATTAATTTTATATAATTAAATAAAGTAATTATAATTTGTATACATTATTTAATTTTAATAAATAAATTATAATTATGAAGGCTATATTGTGACATTGTATAAAAATTATTTATTATTACGAATATTGCAAAGAATTAATGCAAAATAATAAAATAAGTACATTTTGTAAAAATTACAAATTAATGATAATTTTTCTAGTTGCATTATGTTATTTGAAGAGTATGCAATTTATTGCACGTAACAAAAGTATAATAAATTCTAAAGATTCATTTGAGAAACAACATGAAAAAATCAATAAACCTTAGCAAAAGAAAGACAGATGAGAATAATTTACTATCATTTCCAGTGTGCTGCAAATACGTCAGTAGCTACACCATTCTATCTTATGATTGTACATAATGTGTTGTTTCACTCTAGCATAAAATCCAATGCTCATACAACCACATTCTACCACTTCAGGCGAATGTATCTTTAGTTGCATTTTGAATCGAAGAGGAACTAGACATTGAAAAGATTGTAGCACTTGGTGAATAAATATCAAAATGTGTATATATTACCTAAAGAATTTTGAAAATAGCAAATTTTTTAAAAAACTATTTATAAATAATTATTAAAACAATAAAATTAACAAGTAATTTATATAAAATTGAATTATGCACAATTTAAACAATATTTGAATATGTTAATAAATCTACTAAATCTAATAAATAAAATGAAGTTTACGATTTCGAAAGAAAAAACTTAGCAGAAAGGTGTCAAGATAGTTAAAAAGTCTGCAATTATCGGTTAATTAAAAATTAAAATTTTGGAGCACTTTGCAAATTTTTTCTATATATACACCCAAAAGAGCCCCCGGAGCGTCGTTCGTGTACTGCGAAAGTTATGTTGTACTTTTACTAATTTTTGAACGCAAACCGATTTGCCAATTTATCAGCATAGTGAAATTGCAAAATGTATTGAATGTACAAAGTGTAATTGTTAATATTAAAATATGTAAAATATGAAGGAAAATCCTCCGATATCCTTACCATATATTTTTCAGAACTTATTACTCACAAGTTCGGTTTTTTTGGATTGACACAAATGAGAAAGAGAAGGCCAGCAGCGCAGTGGCCGTTGATTTTAAAAAGAGAATAATTGGAGTATAGGTATTGAATTCGCCTCAAATATACCAAGTGCATTTTATTTGTATGACCCCTTCGACCCGTTCTCCTAGTGCTCAATAAACAAGCATACAAACACGAAAGAAAATAAGCTGCTCTACTTCATAATACAAAAATTTTTGGTAATTTTATTCCAATGTTACTGGATACGCGTTTACCATTTAGTTCCCTCGTTCCGTTTGTTGTTTCGTTTTGTCTTATGCGGTTCGTTTCAACGCTCGGAGCGCTGATTATACAATTTAAATAAAACAATAAACCAATATGAATACTACGAAACAGGTTTGTATGTTTTTTTTTATATAAAATTTTGTTGTTTGTTAATAACAATACCATTAGTATTATTAATATTGATATTTGTAAAATATATTTGTTGAAAAAATAAATTTGTCTACTTTAGCGGATAATATGTGGGTGGTGGGTCAAAAGTCGTCAAGGTACTTTTGAACATTTCCAATTTATTGGAAAAAGGAAATAACAGTAGCAACGATGTCTGGGTGTCCGTGAGAAGAAAAGAAACAAAAAGAAAACAGTTCCATACTAGAATTGTCCAAATTTTTTGAATTAAACATTTACTAACTTCTATGATTATTGCTTTTTACAATGTTATATATATTAACATTATAACAATGTTGTTAATTTATAATTAAAGAAATTTTTGTCAATCACACTCGAGTATAAAATTTAGTATGTTAATTAAAATATATTTAAACCTTGAAAATATTATCCATTATGAGATATACATCATTAATCAAAATGTGTATTTACTTTTAATCATCTATAGTTTGTTAGAATATATTTTTAAAATAATACAATATATTAAGAAAACTGTAACTACGGTAAGGATAATAAAAGTCAAAAAATCAAAATGATTGCAAGCAATGACGAAGTGATCATAAAGTCTTTGGGTAATCAATGTTTCTGTGGACCTCTCTTGATTAAAGTAGGGAGAATTGAGAGAGTATTGAGAAAAAGGGATATAGGTTCATGTCTCCCAAAAAGTAGTGACTCCAAAATTGTAAAGAACAATATCTCAGTTAATGTTTTAAAAATAATAGTTTGAAATTTTCACACATTAATAAAATTCTTCATAATTTCTCACGTTTTATCAAATTTGTCATAAGTAATACTAATAATACTAATATATGAAATAGAACTGCACACATAATAACTTTAAATATTAGTTTAAAAATTAGGCACAAACACTTTATGTTATATACTATATTGGGTAAAATACATATACAAAATTGTTATTTAAGATTGTAGTATTACATAAAAATTGTAATTGAATTATTATATATTAGTTGAAATTTTAATAGTTTGAATTTTTTGTTATTAATTATCTTGTGATAATTTATTTTATAAAATTTGTATACTATATATATATTAGGGATTACACTGATTGCGATCGATAAATAATTAGCAATTATTTAATAAACATAGGTTCGTAGACATCTTAATTTTCACGTTTTATTAAACAAACAAAGAGTTTTTATTGTTTAGTCGAAAAAATGTTGAGCTTTTTAGGAATTTTTTTTTTACCGAAACAATACCCTAATATGTATGCTATTACTGATTTTGCATTTGTCAATGTGGTACATGCATTTTTGTGGCATGTGGATTCCAAAAAACCATAAGATGCCACAACTCATCAGACAAAATTTAAGTATTTGATCACTTCAGATGTTTTCCGCTGTCTTCTCTCCGAATGTGTGAAAACCGTTTTGATTTAGGTAGATTCAGGTTTAATCTGTTTTATACAGAAGTAAAAAATCTGATCATACTTCTTAAATAGCTCGAAATATCGAATGAAATGACCAATGTCATGACCAATGCCAGCAAATGCAGCACGCATTTAGAATTATAAAATTTCGATTTTCCTGAATTTTATTTGACGGTCATAAAATAAAATGGTTTTATAAAATGAAATATAAAATGAGTGCCATGAATGCACCTATGCGAGAGCCAACGGTGGTTGGCGCGAAACGGTTCAGAATCTTGTCAAAATGTTCATTCTCTCTACGAAATTCTTCTTTGGACAAATGTTCAGCACACCTTTCAGAACTTCTTTGTATTAAACCTTAACGGCAACAATCTACCATACGCATACGCAAACCATCGTACGTGATGATGCTTGAATTCTTGTGGCCATTTATGTGTCTTCATTTTTATATAACCTCTCTGTTAGGTAAATTGGACTATATTTAAAAAAATTTAAAAATTTTTCTCACTAGAATAGACGATGTTCGAGAAATGACCAAAGTCATGCAAGTTCATTAGTTACTTCTCACTCTCAAGTATAGTTCTCTTTTAATATATGTTGTCTATCGTTCTATTATAATGTATGTAAAAACATTGTAATTTTTGGGACTTATATGGTTTCAGATTGAGCTCAGTTTTAGTATTCGCTACATGATGGCTGTATTTGCTATGTTAGCTTAATAAACCAAATAGTCCTCCGTGCCAGAGTTCTAGTCATGAAAATTTATTAACATTGAGGTGTTCGGGAGATAGCAATAGCCACTTATAGAGTGCCGCTATAAACTTTAATATCAGTATCAATTGTCATTAGGTGAAATGTACATGTGTTGCTACCATTTCGAATGTTGCAATTTAAAATTGATTGCAGTCCAATTGAGTCATCTTGCATTTGGTTACTATAGTAAATTTTGGTTCACGATCAAAACTTACATATTTACAAATCAAAATAAGCAGATTAATATAGTGATAAGTTCCAAAACAATTTTTTAAATTTAATTTAGTTAAATAAATAATAGTAATAGAAATAATAGTTGTTGTTATGTAGTTAAAAATATTTCTGTAATTGTATAATAATAAATACTTATATATATATATAATACAAACAAAAAGTATTACTATTTAATTTCAGGTATCTAAAATTAAAATGTGTACATCATTCAAAAACAGATTAGTTTTAATATTGTTTATGTATTCTTGAAGAATTTTATGAAAAAGAGATTATATATGATCTCACTTCCAGAATGATTAAGTTAAAGAGAAAGGCAATAATTCTTGTATGCAGCATCTTATCGGAGAGTTGATTTATGATTATAAAAGAATGTGCCCTATTTTATATTTTAATACATACTTGTGAACTTAGGAATATAATTTGGGGGAACTTATTTAAAAAAGTGCTTATAAAACATATTTTTTGGAAAATCTCTATACAAGTATATTATAATTGATAGCGTATCTTATTATACACAATATATGAGTATATTATCATATTAGATCGTTTTAAAAAATATAAATTTGTAATTTTCCCCTTCTTATGCTTTGTGCTTTACAGAATTCGCATTCGACGACGTTGACACACATGAAGGCGACAATAATTTATTTATCGCCTTTTCTGCAGTCATGTCAACATGTTCCTGGTATAAATGCAAATGTGTCTCCAATTGGTAGCGGCACTGGTGCTGGAACGCGTGTTAACGAAGGTGGTAGCATGTGTCAGTCTCGGGAGCAAAAAAATTATGAAAAATTTGTTATGTCAATGAAAAAAGAACCGGCAGCTATTTTTCCAACAATTCAAACATCATCAACAACAGTAACAGCAACAACAACAACAGCAACAGCAACAGCAACAACGACAGTGAAATCAAATGTAGAAGGGTTAAGGCAGCAAGATATGAGAAACAGAAGTTCTAGGAACAAGGAGAGTAGAGAACGTCGCAAGCATTTCTATACAAATTCTGTGTTAGTATCAGCACCGCCTGCACAAACACATAAGAAAAGTGTAGTTAAAATGGATACCTCTTCGACAACAACAAATAATCCAGTAAAGAAACCACCAGCATTTTCGTTATCGGAATCAATACAAAACGATAAGATGAATGAAAACGATGATATAAATGTTAAAACAAACTTTCAATTAGTTGATAAATTAAATTTAAGGAACACACATTTAGTAGTTATGCCAATCTGTGAAAGTAGTTTAGAAAATACGGCTGCCACAACAATGAGTGGTATATCGCCAAACGCAATGGAAATAGCCAAAAATACTAAAATTAATTCGCAAACAACGACGCTTGAATGTAGGTGCTTTAATGAAAACAGTGATATTATCGACGAGGTTAATGTACATCAATGTAGTAGAGTTAAATTTCATCAGCTTCCTAGACGAACGTTTCAACTAATTTGGCAACAAATATTATTAAGGAAAAGACTAACAAATGCAATAGTAACAGCAAAAACGTTATACGTTATGATACTGTTATTACTGATATCGTCGGCCAGCTGCTGGTCAGGGCGTCAAGATGGTAAGTGAAACTGTAATCTTATTAATCGCACAAATGAAAATGACTTCAATTATTTTTGGTTAATTTTACTTTATGTTATTAATGTATTGCAATATTTTTATAATAGTAAGCCTATTAACATATAAGTAATACACTTTAAAGTACTCATCTTAAAAAATTTTTAGTTTATTTATTTTTTCTATTTTTGTTTTAATAAAGAAATAACGGATGTTATTTTAGTAAAATTTCTTATGTAAAGTAATATGTTATATCCTGTTATTCTTCTTTGCTCTACTCTCATAAATAAATCTCTTTGCTATTTTCACTCAATAGTGTTTGTGACCATTTAGATGATCCACTGTAATGTGAGCTCCCTTGTATTCTGATATTAAGTTTTATCCGATGATTTTGTAGAAGTGTACTTGCTGCATTTGATTTGAGAGAATGCAATTGTGAATTAATGTGCGTTTTCGCAGAATCTAACAATTTCAGTGCTCTGTCTTTGATATCTTGTACACTCTCGACGCCCGACGCTCGATTTTCAAGTCTTTGTCTATGTCGTCATTTCTGATGTTCCATAGAACTTGTACTGCACGTCTCAGTACAAAATATTCTGATAAGTTTAGAGTTTCCTAATGGTGGTGGTTATGATTTAGTGACTTAATTGAATAAATCTCAAATGGTTAAAATAATTTTAAGCCTTTAAAAAGGCCTTCAAGAAACTTCAAGATCTCAAAGGCTAAGTCCGACTAAGAATTCCTCTAGAAAATAGTTTGGCTGAACTATTGGTGTTTCGAATAAATCTCAAATGGTAAAAATAATTTCAAGCCTGATCTGAAAGATCTGAAAGGCTAAGTCCGACTAAGTTCCTCTAGAAAATAGTTTAGTTGAACAATTGCACACTGCATGCGAAGCATTTTTTTGGCATACGTTTGGATAGTATTTAGAAATATCAGTCACTTGTTTTGATAATATGAAAATGTAATTTCCTTAAAATAAGTGTATCATTTTTTTTTACTTCAACTGTAATAACGGTTTAATTAAGTGTATTCTACTATATTGTATAGTTAAATAACAAATAAGTTAGATATGTTTTAGTTCAATTATTGTTATTTTACTCCACCCTCAGAAATGTATTATCAATTACTTTGAACAATTTATTAAATAAAAAAGACACAAATCTTTTAATAAATGTCGTTGTAAGCGTAACGTATTTCCTTCATTTAAATAAAATTAATAACAGCAAAACTACACAATTACTTTTGAATCACTTAAACGTAATTTTGTAGAGGTGGAAAGGAAAAACCGAAGAAATATTCAAAGCAACATATATACATATAATGTATAATGTATATGCACTTTAATGAAAATAGATCTTTTATGTTAGTAAGATACATGAAATTACTGAAATTGTTTGAAATTTATCTTTCAAAAATTGATAAAAAAATTTTTTTTTCTGAATTTTACACATGAAAGTCAACTTATTTGTCCATTATTTCCTAAAAAAAATAAAAGTATTAATAATGTCATTATATTTTACATAATATTTAATAACTAAGTTTTGTTTTATTGTAGATTTATATTTAGATTTACATATATTGAGAATATTTGTATTATCATTATTTAAACTTGAATTTGTAGCTTTGTCGAATTGTACATTTCCTGCACGTTGGGAAGGATCTTGGTTCCTATCGGGCTACCAACAACCTATACACATTAAAGGATCACAATTCAGTTATCGGGGTAAATGTGCGGCATCCGAGGGTAACAAATATTTAATAGTAGATGAGTAAGTACAATTTTTATATTTTTCAAATTTTATTTACCATATATGAAATGAGGTGTCAAAAAAAGAGATATATAATCGGATTATTCAATTATTTTAATGCCAATAAACTATTACGAAATTATAAAATAAGTTAATTTATGCAAATTTTATGTAAAATTACTTTATATGAAGTAAAGGTGCTTTAAGGTAAGATAAGATATAATAAATATTAAAATAAAAACAGAGCATATTAATCATTTATATTTTAAACAAAACATAATAACATATATATATAAATTGTGTAATAAATAAAAAAGTTTGCGTGTTTTGTGTGCTTGTATTCTTTTTGAAGTATCTTTACTTGTGTAATTCTTTTATTCCTTTTGAAACTAAGAGTCTTCTATATAAAAATAAAAACTTAAAACTTTTAGCTTATAATAAAAAATTTTAATTTTTTAATATTTTAAGTTTAATATTCGTAATATATTTTTGCAGTTGCTATGCATTTAAATAAAACTTTAATTTGTAGCTGAAATGTGTGTTATAATTTTTTCTGAAAATCCATACAAATAAGTTATACAAAAAATGAAATTAACCTTCATACACATTTGTACATGTTAAAAATATATTATTTAATTTATAAAGTTGAATTAATTTTAATATTTATTTTGTTTTTTAAAGCGTTACAATTTTTTTATTATTTAAAATATGTATACTCTATAGTTATAAAATTATTTTTAAGTTTATAGTTGAAAGTTTTAAAAAATTATTACTTTGAATGAATAATATGTTATTGTAAGGTATTAAAATATAAATATTTAAAAAAATAATGTTAGAAATATATTATATTGTATTATACATAAACTTCATATCCTATGTCGAAACTGTGTAAATTTTATGGAATTATACAAAGCGGTTTCAAAAGTCTTGATTTTCAACAATTCAATTTCGGATTATAGTAAAACCACTTCCGCACCTATATGTGTTTTCCGATTTATTCTCAACCCACAGATCTAACTCATTGTTAAGCATGAAGTTTTCATGTTTTCATATTTTCTGTTCATTTCGTTTACTGATTTATTTAAAAAATATTAATTCTTAATATTGAACTAACATTCCCCATATATATCCACCTCTTTATACATTCTCTACAACATAATTTTTCATTACTTTGTGCATACTATATAATTTATATTTTTTTTTACTTTGAATTTGATATTGTCCATGTTTAAACTGTTTAAGTAGTACATAGATGAGTATTGACCTCTATAGTTTTGATTTGGTCTTTCTTGTTTTAAAATTAAGAAATTAGAAAAATCGCAATAATTGATTTCATATGATTTACTCAATATAATCACTTCTTGCTGCCAATAAAGTTAAAGTAATTTTGAAATAATGGTATTATTTTTTTTTTTCTCATGTTGCGCAATAGATCCCAATATTGCCATTCAAATGAAATGAAAGTCAAAAGTATTTACGTACAAATTAATATCCATAGCGTTAAATAGCCTTTTCAAATCCAGCATTATAAATTAATTAAATGGTTTTAAATATACACAGATGGCTTTTGATGGGACACTAACTACCATTACGTTTGCGGCACTATCCTATTCTAGTTCTTTAATCTTAGAAGGTTGCCTAACTAATGGTGCATCTGTTTTTTATAGTTGAAGCTTACGCTATTAAAATTGATTTCAAATATGCAATTGCTTCAAAAGGAAAATTCGAAGTATTCTTCGAAAACCGGCCTGCTCTACAAACAATCTTATCATTTATTATAATAGTACGGTCATTCTTAGTTCAACAACTCTGAACTCACTCACCAAAACGGTAATAGTAATGTGAATTCACGAACATGAAAGTATTACTTGGAATGACTCGACTGAGCTAGCCGCGTCTGTCACTCAATTAATGCTCTTTCTTTCAATCCGAATGGCATAAAGTTCTAGTTTCTCGAATCTCAAGATAATTAAATCGTTGTATAAGAATCGGACATACTTTCGTGACTCTCAAACATCTACTCTGACTTAGCCGTCAAGAATTTTGCAGTTCTGTAGTGGTCTCATATCACTCATATCTTTTCATATGCTTATTATCTTTTCAATAGTTTATTCATATTAATGTTAATGTAATATTTGCTTTATTGTCTCATAAATATTATTTTGTCATTAAATTATAATTTACATATTTCAAGAAAAGAAAACCTCTGCTTCCAATACTTTCTATTTGTTAAGTATTTTATTATGTTATATTTATGTTATAAATGAAAAAATAACGTCAAATACTTCATAAATATTATTTTGCGGTTTCTTAAAATCTTTTATCAACTTTCAAATAATATATTGTTTCGATTTTGAAGCTACTATATCTTTATTTTGATATATTGATATTGGTTGATATATCAACTTATCTAAATTTTTTATAGCATGTATCTTTGCCCTTTTTTCCTTTTATATGAAATTTTTTATAGATATTTTTTTAATATTATTTTATTCCATATATCAAATTTTCTTTTGCTATTATGTTCCACTCTGAAAAAACGCGTTTTTTTTATCTATAAAATTTATTTCTTATGTTTCAAATTTTCGAATACTCCATTTTTTGTAGTACTAAGACATATTTATTTCGTAACACTATTTCTTTAACCTAACCCAGGAAATCGCTGATATTATACATTTATTGACGAATGCATTATGGTTACTGATATAAAACATTAACATAAACTTGTTTAATATAGGATAGATCTATGACTTTTTTCTTTCTAAGCTATAATCACTGTCTTCTTAATGCATATTATTATGTAACATATATTCCGTAAATACATAACGTCCAATGTAATGTCCAGCGAAATCGAGTTCTGTTTTGTTATTATGATAATATAATATATTAAAAGAAACTCTCAATAATTTAAACCTTGAATTCAATATATTTTTCTAATATTTTAAAAACATCTATTTATTTTTTATTAAAATTATTGTATTCTTCTATATACTATATATACTCGTATAATATGTTTTTCATTTTTATAATTGTGCAAAATTTTTCGTTAACGTAAACATATGTTTTAAATGATTTCAATCAATTAATTCCGAAAAGAATTTTATACTTAGTTAAATGTTAATTCTAAAAATTATAGATCATGGCGCTAGTTTAGTCTCACCAGGTGTTTTATATTAATAACATATGTATATAAGCACAAATAATAATTTATAACTGAATAAATGCTTCATTAGTTCTACTTAAGTATGAGTGCTCGTATTTATATTGTCATAAAATAGCGAAGAGGGACGAAAGCAAAGTTCTAAGGTCAACGAAGTATCTTTCTGAATGAATATGTAAGTAGTTGGTTGGTATGTGTGTAATTTCTGTGGGTAAAATTGCATAATTTTATATTCAGAAAATTCAAAAAAATATAAAATTTATTGTTCACAAACATTGTTACATAAAACAAAAAAAAAATTCGTTTCTTCAAATTTAAATATCCACATAAGTGTAACAAACGCAGTACATACTGTGTTTTCAAATGTATCTGAGCTAAAGAATGTTCGAGTCGAGTCGAGTCGAGTAGAGTCGAGTAGAGTTGCAAATGAAAATAAAATGAGCAACAGAAATGTTAACGAAAACGGAGGGTGTAATTTTATGCTACTCACTTTTGTTTACCCTCCCTTTTTTGCTTAAGCTCCGTATACCCTTAAGGCATGCAAGTGTGTACATAAATATGCACTTGGGAATGGCGTTTACTGTCAACGAAATAATTTCTGGAAACCAAGCAATTTTATCAAAATATATATATGTGAATTTTTATGTGCAGACAATTATGTGTATGTCTAATTTATGTTTATCATGCTTTTATAAGTATGTATACAGGGTGTTTAATGTAGTTTCAATTCTTGCCGCAACTTACATACGTATATGTATATGTTTAAGACAATATATGTATATTTTTTCATATTTACTTCAGATATGCAATTTACTTATTCCTATTAACATTTAAAAATTAATTTCAATTTAGTTTTTTGATTTTCATTTTTTATCTACAGCATTTTTGCACAATTTTAATAGTAGTATTTTTTTTCTTTTATATAATTACATTTGAAGTTGTTAATTTTTTTTTTTTGACGGAAATAAAGCTTCATCTACAAGTTTTTTCAAAATACTGATTTTACATCTTATTTCAGAATATACAGCAATATATTTTTTATAAAATAAATTCATTTAATGAAAAACTTTTAATTATTTAGAATTCTAAATAGTAGTTGTGCCTTAAGCTTCATTTGATTACGAAGAGTTAATCAAATAAATCATGGTTTCTCAATCAACCCTCAGATGTAAATCATTACTATATTTTTTTTTAGATCCATTAAGAGATCCAATATTTGTACTAACTTCTTAATAAATATACTCGATGTGAAGAATTTCACGGACAATTACACTTTGGTGTACAATCAATCCAGTTTAAAAATAATTTTTCAATGAATAATTATTTTATATGTACTCTATGTACTCTATAAATCGAATATTTTCTTACTATATTTAATAAATTGACCTTGTTATGTTAAAAATATTAAGATATTCTTTATATTTATTAATTAAATTTTAAACTATATAAAATTCTATTTCTAGTAATGAATTTATGATAATAATTTATATTTATCCGATCAGTTTTAATGGTCATCAATAATGAATATATATGTATATCATATATTTTCATTTATCGTTCTGTGAAATATCTTAAATTCGGATTAAATAAGTAATTTGTTTAAAATATAACTGTATCACACAGCAAAGTCTGAATAGATCATTTATTTAAATAAAATAAATGTTAAAACTTGTATATGCTGCTCTACATATAAAACATTGCGATTCCTGTTAAAATTTAGTATATTTCATATGAAGTTGATTCAAGACATTTTATTTAGAAATTTATAAAAAAAATATGCCTCATACACTCTTATATATTAGAAATAAAGTAAATATTTCTTTATGATAACAAGACAAAGAAAATAATCAGTCGTTTACTTAGTTATTCATACAAAAAGCAATCATATGTTAGTGTGTATATAAAAAAGATAATAACACAAGTAATGAAACAAATATATTGATGATTCATAAACAATTTGATTTGATGATAAATGAATTTTTAGGAAAGGATGTCATCGGTGCCTGGTTATCTATGAGAAGCATAAAAATGTGCTCCAGTATAAAGAAAGTGAGTGCGAAGGTGATAGTATGTATATGCATCAATCGAACCCATCCGCAATGGCGATGCGTAGCACTTTAGCAAAGAAACAAACAAGTGATCATATGGGGGGAGCTCATCCCAATACGAATTCAAGACTATCATCATCGGATCAATACTTGAGATCCAATGACGATATGAATGATTGTAAGCATTAATTTTAATACTTCAATTTAAAGTTTTAATTTATGTTTATTTAATTATTTTTTTTTTTTTAATTTTTTTTGTAATTAGTATTATGTATTGCTACATAAAATAAAGATGATTTCTGAAAAAAAAAATCATCTTCAAATACATAATTTAAATACACATTCCTTTGATTTAAAAATATTTGATATGATTTCGAAACATATTTTAAATATTATTTAGTTAAATTTTTTGTAACTTGATTATTTGATCTATGATTTATTTTTGATTTTTCACCAAGTTAAGCATAAAAATTAATACAAATAAAAACCTTGTAAATAGTAAAACCAAAAATTACTCTGCATAATACAACGAAGTTATTTATGTATTTTTATTAGTTTTGAATATTTTTTTGTAAATTTTTTCAATTCATGGCAAGGGTCCTCTCTAAATTTTATTAATTTTAAAATTAATATTATTAATTATTGTTAGTGTGCAAAATCGAAAATATACATACATATATATTTTCAATATAAAATCAATAGTTTGTGATACCAAAAGTATTAGCGGAATAGCAGATTAACCCGTCCCAACTTTTGTAAAATATTTAATATAATTACTAAAAATTCAAAAATTCGAAAATTCAAAAATACAATTCCAGAAAATTTCGAATATAAAAAATTTCAAAATATTTTTTATTTTATTCATAATTTAATAAAATCTTTATTTCTTGATTTTGATTATGACTGTAAATAATTGAATTTTGTAAATACAAAATTGTTTGTTAATATCTTTACATATATTTATATATATTTGCAAAACTCTATTTACATAAATATTTATAATGATATGTATTTTCCTTAATTAAAAAGTTTTAAGATATTTCTTATTGTGTGTGCTTTATAAATTATACTTAATTATAATTATTTTTATCCTTAAGTTTAATTGATTTTTTATTTAAACGCGGTAATTACACGTAATTTAGTTATGTTATGAAAGTTTAGTAAGCAATTTTCGCGCACAAATACAAATATTTTAACGTACATTAACATAGATGAGGTTTAAAATCCTAAAATCACAAATAAAATTTATAATCTTTTTAGTTAATCCTTATGCAATGTATGACGTCATTGTCGTATACTCATATTGTAAATATATCATCTCATTGAACACCACGTCAAGACGTCATAACTCGAAATATAACTAAAAACACTTTTGTAACTAATATAGAAAATATATATATACATTATTTTATATATAAACTAAAGCCATTATGCTGATGAAGTTTTTTATTCACAATAAAATATTAACAATTTTTTCTTATTGTATAATTATATATTTTTCATTTTTGTTGCACGCCTAAAATTTATATATAACTTAAGTTATATATATAATTATTAACGAATTTTTGTTATATTAGGACCTTTTTTATTTAAATTTAAACCAAAATAATTCGGTTTTATCAATAGTTTTATTTAAATATAATTTTATGTGTGTGTCCTAATGTGCGTATCGTCTAAACCCCATTTCAGTTCCCAAATGTCTTTGATGCACTACATCCAGCTAAAAAATGTATGTATTTAATTAAAAAGAAGTTACTTTAACTTAAAGGAATAATTTTGTTAGAGGATTAGAAATTAAAAAAAATTTATATTTTTAAAAATCAGCATTAGAATTTAGAACTTTTTGTATTATTGTAGAAGTAAACAGTAAATACTTTAAGATAGCCTGTAAATAAAGCTAAGGTTATTTATTTACAAAAAATATTCATATATTGTATTACTAAACAAAATAAACAAATTTATTAGCAAAAAATTCTATCTGTTTTTATAAATAGATTTTGATACAATAATATTTAATAGGTGAGAATAACTTTTTGTTTAAGCTAAACATATACTATAAACTTCAACTCTGTATATATTACTGTATATAATATGCTTCAAATTTTTTTGGACTATCATAAGAAAATATATAATAAAACATATATAATAAGAAACTTTTTCACTTCATTTTTGCAAATTTTTTGATACGTACAAATTGATATTTATAGTGAATTAAAACACTATACTCGTATGTACGCATTTATATCTTATATTCAGAGGAGAGTATTTCATTAGTACTTTATTCCATATAATCTTCTTCTTAAACAATTTATGAAAACATAAAAACAAGTTTATAGTAGGTTAGGTTAGGTTATATCGGTGATTCCTAGTGGATCTACGTAGACTTATTGTGTTACCGTATATATTGGAAAAACTCAGGGTCTAAAACCACCTAGAACCTTCAGCGAAGCATAAGATGCTATTTAGTGTCAGCTCCTGTAACTGATCCAAGTCCTCAAGAAAAGGGACTCCTAAAGTATTAAGTCGCCGCCGTGCTTGAGCTGCGCAAAAACATGGTAGATGAGAGACACTCTCATCGTCTTCCCCATAGCTGCGACAGATTTGATTGAAATTAGGGAGACCTAATCTTCTAGCATGGTTCCCTAGTTTACAGTGATCTGTAAGTAAACCTACCAAAAGACCGATATCTCTACGGGGTATCTCAATGAGAATTTTAGCTTTAGTTTATAGTAACAGTTTATAGATTGTATTTGAACTATTGCGTATGATATCAGCAATTTAAATTTAAAGTGTTTTACATTTTTTTTTGCCGGATGGAGTGTATTTATGTGTGTACTTCTTTATAAAAGCAGTTATTTTTCAATTCAAATATTTAATTTATGACCAATATTCATTTTCTTTACATTTTAACTATGACCAAATATAAAATGAATAAAAAATATATATATGAAAAAAAAAAAATTGAAGTCATATATATTTATCTAACTAAACAAATGTTTTTTTTATTATTATATAAAACCTAAATTAAAACAATTTTAGTAATCAATTAAATTATTAAATTATATAATATAATAAATTATTCATAAATACCTGATGAGAAATAATATTAAAATTATCGCATACAAATTACTAAGACAATTTGTAATTATAAAAGATGATGTTAAGTATACTCTTGCATATCTCAAATACATAAATATAGAGACAATACTATTTGTTGTAAAAATACTCGAACTAAAGATTTTACTAATGGAATTAAACTTTTAATATATTGCAAATACAAATATGAGTTTTATAACATAACCTAAATTGAATAAAATTGGAAAGGGGATTTGTTGTAGTACCAGAGCTATTGCATGCTGACCCTACTATTTAGATTTTAAGATAGCAATTGCTTTGACTTTAAAGTGCGGAGATTACCGCATGTAAGAGCACATCAAACAAGCAGCCCATTTAAAACTATATTATTATTGTTGCAAAATTTAAAAAAACACGCTTTAAAATATTTTATCTTTCCTTGTGTATCAGTAGAGTCCTCGAGTACTCAAATAGGATGGGTATTGCTTTTAATGGCGATGATGCTCTGATTTTTTGAAATCTATTGCTATAAGATTGTACCATTTTCTCTATGATGGTTCGCTATGAACAATGCCTATAGTTTTACCATCCTGTTGTTGATGGTACCGATCTTCGAGTATTTGACAGTACTAATAATTGGTACTGTTGTTAATAATTATGTTATTATAATAGCAATATTTGGTCAATAATAACATGAAACATTTTTTATATTGTTATTGAATCAAATAATATTATAAATAAACCAATTTTTTTAAATAATCTATTGGTTAACATCCTTTTTAATGTGGAGTTTTTTATTGCCCAAAGCCTTGCAGATGTGTATCTTATTTTAAAATATTTTATATAGTTTTTTATCTTATTTAAAAAATAAAACTTTTGAGATTGGTTACTTCCTCTTGGCATTTGTTAGGGATTTCTCTTGGGATTTCTTTATATACTTCACCTTTCCCATAATATTTAGTGTTATGAATGCACGTTCACATTTATTCGAGTTAATTTTTATCATAATTTAACTCTTGAGTAGTTCCTTCTTAATTATTAAAAAAAGTTGCATTCTGTAGTTAGTATAACAATTAATAAAATTTTCAAAATCATTGATACCACTCTTCTTCAATTGATGTTTTAAAATAGTTAATATCTTTTGTAATTTTAAAATATATTAATTTTAATAAGCGAATATACACAGGTGTGTGTCTTACTGCTGTTTCTAATACTTACATATAGATAAAAATACATTCAAATACTGCAGTAACAGGCAAAAAAGGTCATAACAATTATTAAATCTCAGACAATCGTTACCTATAAGACTCCTCTTTCCACAACACGATAGGGTAGTGTTGCGAAATGACTATCTACCTGATATATAAACAATATTGTACTATCTAATGTGGTAAAACACTGCAAATGTTTTGAGACTTTTAGTGTGAGTATGCGGTTTTACACTTAGTGAGGATGGAGATACTACCTTTTCAATGATCAATTCCTTCTGCTCTTCAGGCTCTTCAATAAAAGAGTTTCTGGACTTCGTTATACATGGCCCGAATATGTATATATGAGACCCCATGCTCGTCCTACCTGTGTCCTTTCACATTATATTATATTATTATATTATATTATTTTGAGGTAGAAATGTAGTAATTGCCATTGATCGACAAGGGGTAGCTTGCGTAAAAAATATTTCTCGTCAAGATGCTGTACTTTGTTGAGTCTCCAACCGACTTCTATTCTACCTTGCAGAGTCAAAGCAAATATTGTTATACATATATATAATATAACATTCAACTACATAAACGGATTATATAAAAATACTTTTAATATAATACAAACTGTAACAGTAAATATCAGTAGTTTGGTATGTGGCTATTACTAGGGATAATATTTAAAATTATCTTGTTTGAATGTTTCTACATTCAGTAAATTATATGCATTATTATCTTAATGCTATCGATAATAATTGATCAACTACTAATATTGTAAGAAATGAAAAAATTTTATACTTGATGTAAAAATTACATACTCGTGATTATATTATTAAACAAATTCAACAAAATTTATATAAAATTTCAAACGATTTTGAAGTCGAATTTTCTGTTTGGTAAAAAATTTAAATAAATGTGAAATTCAAATACCATTATTCACAAAAATATCTTAAATTATTTTTATTAAAATTGTAGTTTTGTAAATTTGTAAATATGTATGAGTGGTTTTTATTACATACAAGAAGCTTGAAGATACTTAATTCTTAATTCTGTTGAAGGGTGAGAGCAAAGTGCTGTTCTACATTAAAAAGTGCATTTAATGATAATGTTTTTTTTGTTTCGTACTTTATCTAAAAACAATTTCAAATGTAACCTAATGAAGAAAATTAATTGAATAGTGACCAGAGATGAATTTCACATTTATTAAAATTGTTTGTAAATTAAATGTGGTTTCATAAAAAGTTATGAAAAATTTAAATTAAACTTTGGTTATATGTTACATTGATTTAGTTAACAAGAAGTTATAGAAGTTTACTTTATATCTAATTTAGTAAATGTAATGCATTTCAAATGAACCAAAACCACACAAAGAAAACCAGTGAAATGAATCATTGAAGTTGATGGATAATATGTATATGAAAAATATACATATACATATATGTATATGTATCTGTAGAATGTAGAATTAAATGCAAAAATAACAACATGTTCGTCTCTGAACTTAAATTGTGCAGATACTATACGAATAGATACTACGAATAGTACTCAGTATAATTATATCTTTTTAATGTAATAGTGCAGTTATAAATTTACAGATGTATGTATACTACATTACAAGTATGCAATGACATAGGTATAAACATTCCTTATTACATATATATAAATAACTATACATTTGAAATTAGCTAAGAGGATGAATATAGCAAATTGCGTTGAAATTGAGACGGGTTAAGTTTGCGGTTCCCACATAAACCCATATTAAGCTTTTCGTTTAAGTATTTTTTATGAAGATGAAGATAACGAATTGAAGAGCAGGAAGCGTATGAGTGTGTTTTGTAAATTCAATTAGACATCTTAATTTGGTTTATTTTAACATTATTTGTTTTTTTAGTTAATTAAAAATAAATGCAAAAAATATATTAATATTGTAACAGTATAAGACCGTTTAAATTATTAAATGAAGTAAGAAGGAAATTTCATTTCCTTTACAGGCACTCCCTCGTTAAAAAAAACACACAATTTATTAATAAACATTGTTAAACTATTTTAAGCAATTAATTATTTATTTTAGGTTTCTTTATGAATACAATTTACAGATTTTAAGTAAGGAGAACCTAAATACGAATAGCGAGTTGTATGAAAAGTAACTATTTTCATAATGCGTTAGTTTTAAACTTCATTCATAATAGTATTAAAAAGAGGTTTAGATATATAATTATAGCATATACATATAATATATGAATTGAAAATATAGCTTATATTTATAAAAACAAAATTTGTGAAGTAAAAAAAAGAACAAAAAATTAATTTAATTCTGATTGCTTTTGGTATTTTCACCTTACTTTATACTCAAAAGTATGTATATAACTACCACGAAATTATGCATTAAACTAGTACACCATATATCATAATTATGAATTAATTAAATAATTTTTAGTGATTTTCCCTTTTAAGATACACCTACTCGAATTGAGGTGAGGTATGCTTGCTTTTCGGTGTCATCAAATTGCGTGTTATTTTATTTATTAAATCTTATTTTTCTTATGTAAAATAACATTCATTTATTTCGTGTATTATAAATATGTTTGTATATTGTGTTACTTTGGTCTTTGTTTGCATTTTTTTAAATTTTGTTAAAAATATTTCATTAAATCATACTATTACGTTCAAATACACGCTGTAAATATATTTGTAATTTCATTTTGTAAAAATTTTTTCATTATAAAACTATTGAAATAAAGTAATATTGTTTTTGTTTTTATATATATTTATATTATTAGTTTAAAATTTATTTGTACATAATTTAAAACAATAAAATTATTTTATTGTTAGTTTGTTTTTACAGTGAATTCGTTTGTAAACACTTTATTATTATATAAAATGTATATATTTATTATATATCATATTAATTACTTTTTGTTTCTCAATATTATGCCATTAAATATTTGAAAATGAACGAAAGCTCATTTTGAGTGTTTAGAGGAAAACAAAAAAAAAAAATAAAAATATTAAAAACATAAAATCAAAGTAAAAGCATTTAAATAATCATATTTCAGCTAAAATAATAAAATATGAAAATTTTCTATAAAGAATGAATCAATCAACAACCACAATTTTAACAAGAAAATGTTGGGATGGGCTGCCCGGTGACCGCTAGTATAAAAAATAAATTGTCATATATATATATATATTTCATGTTAATTATTTAAAAATGTTTTTGTGTATGTGATTTTTAGTTCCCTCATATTTATTTAAAAACCAAACTCAACAATTTCTGTTTTGTATTGAAAAACAAAAAAAAAATAATTAAAGTATTTGTATCAATGTGCTTATAGACGTTTTAAATGTTGTAATTGTAAACAATTAAATTTAGTTTTATTTCATTCATTCAAATTTTTGTTATCATTGTGTTTAAACAATTTTATTATGTGTAGAGTTGAATTCTATTAATTATTCTATAAACACAATTTAAAAAAAATTTACATTTAAAATTTTAATTTAGGTTTTGAATTCAAAAACTCCTTTTACTTTAGCTAAGCTTTGAAATGATTTACTATTGTTTTGAGTTTTTATTTTAAATTAAATTAAACGAAATTAAATTAAATAAGCACTTTTGGCTTACGTATGTGTTTGTGTTTTTGCTTGTTTTTTGTAGTTATTTTGTATATCTTAAAAAAAAATATAGTATGTGTGCTGTAGTTGTAATTTATTATAATACTATTTCTATGAATTTATTATTATTTTCTTTCTCATAAATGAAAACAATATTTGACTGAGTGTTGATTTTTAATTTTCAACAAAGAGAGGACCCTTTACCGAAAACTAATTTTTTACTTTTGTTTTATATACCACATTTTATGCAATTAATGCTTAAAATACAACACACAAAAAATGGTTAATAACTAACTGAATGAAGAACAAAAATACATTGAAATATATATATTAAAAAAATAAAAGCATAAAAATATGTGAAATATGAATTTAAATTTTTAATTTATTTAAAATTGAGTTCGATACCATAATGTACCATAATAAAGAGAATTGCATCAAAAGCAATGTGTTAAACCATTCAGTTACAAATTAGTATAATAAATGGTATATAAAAATGTTAATTTTTTTTTTTGCGTCAAGGAGGAGTGGATTGCCTACGCACTGACCACAATCCGGCGCCCCGGAAACTGAGTGCCCGACTCGCACGGACTAAACCATTCCCCTTTATACCCCTTCAGACCCTCGTCCTACCCCGGTACTACGTTAGTATTACTTCGAGGTAGGGTCTCTATTAGTTATTTAAGACTTCCATCGGTGTGATCTGTGTCTAGGTCACGTTGCTGCTGCAGGTGATTAACATTGCCCTTCGTCTTGGTATGATACATCTGCACACCCCAGCAGTCTGCTGTAAAGGTCTACTTTTTTTAATCTCAGAAACTTTTCAGCAAACAAATATAATTTTAATTCTATAGTATTTAAATGAGACATTGAAATTGTTCTTATCTAAGATTTGTAAGATAAGAAATTCTTATCTAAATCTAAGATTTGTCTAATTATCACCTACCCTGATTATGCTTTACAAGAAAACTTTGTTGACAAAAGGTAACGCTAGCTGGTCCAAAATATTATGAATAGATTGACTAAAATCTTTGCAGTTGAAGATATTCAACTTTGCCTAGCTTATTTAGTTATCGTATTCGCATTATGGCAAAATAATATAAGAATAAACAATTTACATACAATATTGTCTATCATATAATATATAAAAGAAAATTTACGCATATCTACGAATGTATAACTCTCAAAAGGTGATAACGAAGTTTTAATAGTTTTCAGAGATTATACTCGTAATTAAACATAATTTAAAATTAACTCAATAATTAAACTAGGAATTAAATACCGAAAGTACTCTTTATTCTACATTATAGACTTATGTGCGTAATGTTGCACATTATATGCACGCCGATATTGTATAATTATTCTTTATCTGTTGTTTATTATTTTAAGCTAAATGCAATATTAATAAAACTCCAAAAATAAACTTAACTGAGGAGTTTTTAAAAGACTTTAAAAAAAATTTTTACAGCAAACTTTTAGATCCAATAAATTAAAATATCACTAATTTTTAAATTCATTTTTAAAATTATTAAGATTTTTTTGTTTATTGAATATAAACCTTTATTTATGTACATATAAACATTAATAACTATATAAAATATTTCACGGTGTAATTTTGTTCTTCATATTGTTAAAAATTCAAATTCATAAAAGGACTTCGAATATAATCGATTTAGATTATAAAATCGATTTAGATTATTAAATATCTATTTAGTTACAAGAGTTACTCTACTCGTATGCTTAAAATAGATTTGTATAGATACTTCTTTAAAAACTACAATATTACATTTGAAGTGTATATGCAGAATTTTCAAATTATTTTTTCTTAACATATTTTGTATGATTAATAAACAGAAATTGTTGTTTTAGTTTTAAATTATTTTAAAACTCAAAGAAATTAAACCACTCTAAACCACTCTTTTAAAAATTGTATATTTGTAAACTAAATTGTTGCAAATTTTTTCAATTTCTCTATATTGATATGAAATAAAGTCATTCATTTATTATGTTTAATTTCTTTGGGCATAGTAATATTAAATATATTAATTTTGTAGTTTTTCATCTTCTAATAAAATGCTAATGTGTGTAAAACTTTGTTCCCCTCTTCCTTTTCCCTATATCAATTTTTTGTGCAAAAATAAATTTTGTTTTTGAAAATTGTGCATTAATTGTTCCTTTGTCTTCAAAAAATTATGTCCCCCAGGTTTCTGCAAAGGACGTGAAACTTTACAAAATCTCTGTGATCAAATTCCTGGTGATGCACTTTTGTATTCACTCTTTCGTGAAAGTGCGGAACCTGTAAAATGCCCATTAAAAGGTATGTCTTGAAAACATTCAAAAAACAAAAAAAAAAAAAACGAACAAAGCTATATATGATATAGCCATATACCATATATCTGAGTGACATTATTTATATGTATTAATGTGTTATTAATATTGCACATTCTATTTTCTATTTTTTTTTCAAGGACCATTTGTCTTTACATATAATCGTGGCCACGGCGAGTGCAAAAGTCCTGTTTCAAATATAGAAAGCTGTACGGAAGATAGCCGCTTGTTGCTCAGTTTTCAAGCTTGTCCTGATGTGCAAGGCACTGAAAGTACAGGTTGGTTTGTATATTTTATTTTAAAACATATTTGCTTTGTACATAATACTTCAGTAATTATACACTCCAAAGAATTTTTATGAAAAGCTTTGCTTTTTAATTATACTATATATAAAATTAAGTACATTTTTTCAGTAGTACTTCTTTATTTCATTTATGAGTGACAATTTGTTGTATAGGATTATTAAAGAAATTATGTCTTCTTTTCTAATTACAGTTGAAGAGCTTACATGCCTAGCAACTTGGAAGGATGGTAATTCACGTTATCTTGTTGGCCTAGTGTCACATCATCATGCCATATCCAATGAGGAGCGTTATCGCTGTTTCGTTTATGAAAAAATCTCTTCTTTGATGGGTATGTTTATTGTATTTAGTTGTGGCATCATGTGCATACAGCTAACCCTTACCCAAGAATAGAAATTTTCAATGTAATGTAACTTCTTTGTGTTTCTCTTTTTCCATTGAAATACAGGCGGCCCAAGTATGATGAGTTCAAAGGATGCTGAATATAAACTGGCACAATCTGGCGACGCAACATGCAACGGACTTGACAGTGCCGAGGTAAATCAAATTATTATAGCTTAAGTTATTAAAATTTAAAGAGGAAAGAGAACTCTATATACAAAAATTAAAAAGAAAACATCTTGATTTTTTGAGCGAACTTTTAGCGCGATTAATGTTTTCAAGTGGAAAAATTACAGAATTTTTACAGAATAAGCAGTAAACATTTTTATAGAAGTACTTAACCTCTTTTTATTAAACCAACAAGACCTTTGGGAACTTACTTTTGTTTGCAAAAATGTACTTGTATAGTTTAATTATTCTTTTTTCCTTCTTTTAATGTAATTTTAATGTGCGTTGTAGACTGAATCTTGAATTCATTTTTTAATTGGTTTTGTAATACTATATAAATTAGTAAAAAATTAACACATCTTAAATGAGATAGGTTGAAGTGAGTTTTTTTATATTTCTGTATTCAATATGATTTCCTTTTTATTATATGTAGGTTGGTTCCCGTATCATGTCGTTGCGCAAACCGCCATTGGCTGAACGGTGTGACTTTCCGGTTTGGTTTAAGGGACCACGTCATTGGCATGCCTTGATGGGCAACGCTGTCTATAATTATCATTCCAAGTAAGTAATACTTCATTAAAGTGTTTACAACACGCATTTAAATACTTAATAACACTATTACCAACACATATACATAGTTTTAAGCACGTAGGGGTGGGGAATGGGTGTTGTGCATAAAATATGAATGAAATTGGGTCATTCCCATTAGCGGAGCATAATAAATGCAAAAATATTAAAATATGTAAAAGAAATTAATAAGAAAAAATATATAAGTGCATCTATTTTTTCTATTAAAGTGATGGCTCTGTGCACATCATTAAGCCAAATGGTTACATGGAAACGAGAGCTTTATGCGAACAAATCAACAAACAGACTTCAACCGAAATGATGGCTGTGGTTCATTACACTACTGGCTGGTAAGTGCTTTTCATATATAAAGTTATTTAAATGATACTCAATATCGTACTTATTGGTAAGCAATTTAGTATAAGGATACATATGTATACAAGAGATGTGAAAGTTTCTTTAATAAGAATCCTACAATGTTTCTTTCTTATATACATAAACATAGGTCTATATAATGTATATATGATAAATAAAATTTGTCTCAAAAATATTCATTCAATGAAGCGAGATATTTTAACCAACATAATACAAAAATATTGTCTAATCTAAAAATTATTAAAGTTATATGTTACACTTCATTAATTAAAAATATTAATAGTAATTATAGTTATTACAAAATAGTAATAGCATAGTAATTAATTGATTTCATATATACAAATTATAAATTAATAATATAATATTGCCATGTTGAATTATATTATCCTAGATTATTTAAGCTAAATGAAACGCAGTTTAAAAATTCTCAACATTATTTAATGTCAACGGTCTTTCTCTCTTGTTGATATATCTTTCACACAAGTATTTATGCTACAAATCACTAATTATCTTCTTAATTTACAAATTGCAAAAATTCATTTAAAACGTATAGTTTACTAGTTTTTACTTCAACTAATTAAATGAAGTTTTTACATACAAATAAACTCGTATCGTACGTACATAAGACAACATTGTTGGTGCTGCAATTTTGTTATTTTTTTTTAATACATGGTTTTTGCATTTACATTGTTGCTTCTTATACTTTTCAAAAATGCCAGCCATCATACTTTACGTATTGATATGTATGCGTAAAATAAAAAAAATTTAAATAGTTATTAACGGGTGCAATAACAGTTAAAGAAAACGTAAAAGTTTTAAGTTGAATAAAAATAAAAAAAATTAAAAAACCTACCAGAAGGTAGGTATTCCAATGCTTTTATTGGGTCATATAAAAAAAATTCATGTCTTTGAAATCTTTAATCTTTGATTTTCTGAATAAATTATTGTTGCTATAGGTCTATTTAAAACTGCACATCGATTTATTTAATCGATCACCTCCAAGCATGCCTAGTTAAATTAAATGTGTTCAAAATTAACTATACATTAATATATTAATAATTAATGTATTGATAATTCATTATAATTTATTTAAAAAACAAATGTAGAGATTTACTTAATTTTTTTTCGATTAGTCAATCTGGATTTATGTGCATGATGTTTTATCGACGAGATACTCATGTTATTGAAATTCAAACTGGAAAACAAGCATCTAGACTGGAAGATGCATGCGCACCTGATCACTTTGACTTTAACAAAATGCCGTATATAACTTTATTGGGTAATTTGAAAAACCCTTTAAATTTTATTATATAAATTTTATATATTATTTTTTACATTATATATAGCAAGCAATCCAGATCCTCAAATATGCCCAATGGAAGGCTTGTATTACTTACGGGGTGCCATTGGTCCACCTTATTTAACCACCCGTCATAAGCGAAATCATAATAATAAAGCTCATGGTGGACATACTCATCGCCATATAAGTCAACTAGAAAATGGCAATTTACATAAAAGGTAATAAATTTTTTTAATTTTAATATTATTAGCCTTGCCGAAATTCTTTTACTAATTTTTAAATAATTTTTAGACACAGTACATTAAGTTTTCGTAATTCGGAAAAAAATGAAAAAGGTTCTTGGCATGCCAATACTCGTGGAGTGCCCGTACGTAATAGGCGCGCAGCGGTAACCACGATTTCACCTACACAAGCTTTTAATGAATTTAATGTACATGATATAAATGAAGATCTACCATTGAATATTGACAAAGATAGAAATAGAACAACGATAAACTCTATTTCAACGGAGTTATCAATAAAACAAAGGAATAGACGTGATGTTCCTGGTTGTGTTACAAATGTTAAATCTCAACGGCAATTATGGGTGGGATGTACAGAACCAAATGTAATAGATGTACGCCCGCTATGCAGTGATGATGGCGATGAAGGTACTAGATATTAAAAGTTATATAATAGAGAAAATATATAAACGAGGAAATACTCCTTTTTATTTACATTTATAGAATATTCTTGTCACGGGTCGTGGTCGGAAAATAGTACCGTTTACATTATAGCAAGACATAAAGGTACTAAACACGGTGTGTGTATTAGCTACAGACCTACTGAGGGCACATCCGCCAAATTTGTTATTGGTGATGCTTGCTATCGTGGCACGCAAAAACCACCTGATCATCATTTAGTTGCAAATCTATCAGTACTAGGTAATATAGTTTATATAAAAAATCAATTAATTCATTTAATAACAAGAATTCATATAATTTTTGTTTAAAATTATTTTTGAAAAAAATATATACTTTTTTTTTGTTATAGGTAAATGTGGCGAAACTGGATCAAGTTCCACCAAAGTCTGTATAAATATGTATTTAACAACTATTGCTATCTTCCATTGCTTGTGTGCGTTGCTACAAACAGGAATTTTCACATTAAATCATAGATGACTTCAGCACAATTAATGAATAAAACTTTTTATATATTAGAAAAGAATTAAAGGGTCTTTAGCGCCGAATACATTGATTAAAATGCACAATATAATAAATATTTTTTTCCAATTAAACTAAAACGACAATTTTTAAAAATGTTAGTGAAATAAATTTGAAATAATCGATTTCAAACTAAAATAAATGAAAAATTAATTGTAAATATAAATATTTAAGAGATTTGAAGTTTCGAAGTTTTGAAAAATCTCTCTCTACAAAAAAGTGAGTAGAATTATAATGCAATTGTTGAATTACATTTTAGTGTACACAGTTTAAAATGAACTAAAAAGTATACAAAAATCCCTTAATAAAGACTTTTTTGTAAAAACCTTAATTTTAGCTATAAATAAAAATAAAATATATTTTGTAAATATAAGTTAATATTGAAATTGAAATGGTTTGCAATAAAGCCTTAGCTGTGTATTGATAACTAAATAATTGATAAAAATAATACAAGTTTAAGGATAATAACCATGTGTAATTATATACGCTAACTAAACTATTTATTGTAATATGAAAATTTGCATATATTATACGATCATTAGCTTAAAGCTTTTTTAACTACACAAATTTTCTGCAACTGATGTATAATATAAATATATTTTAGGAAATTGTTTTTGTTATTGATGTTTTATATTTAGTTTGCACATAATTTTAGTTTTTAAGATTCGAATACAACAAAGTTAATAAAAAAAAATTATATAAATAAAATGAAAAGCAAAAAATTTGTAATGAAAAAGAATACGTTTTATAAATTAATATAAAAAAACAAAGCAAAATAAACTTTAACTGATAATTTAATGCATTTTCCCTCCCTTATATATATGTGTATATTTTGTCAATTGCGCATAAATTACAGCTGAACTGTTATTTTTTCAATAATATATCTTACTGTAAAATCTCCATAATCTTTGCTCCTTAAAACCTTAAAAATATTTTTTGGTTTAATTGTTCATAAAAAACCAGTGATTTCACGAAATGCTCAAAAGGAGATATTCATTTTAATTCAAAAGAAATATTAGAATTTTTTTCTTTGAAAATAATTTTGAACAAACATATTGAATCGCTTCTTCAGTTAATATAGATATATATATACTATATACTAGACTTTTAAAAAAAATTTCATCAGACTTTATTAATTTTTAAATATTTTATACAATAAGCAAATAAACAAATAAATTATATATATAAATTATATTTAAATTTAATTTTGCGATTTACAGTGAGTTTGTATTATTGATAAAATAACATTTTAATTTAGCTTGTATGCTTATTAGTAAAACAAAAAAAAACAAAAACAAATAAATTGTGCTGTCAAATAAACATTAAATTATTTTTTATTATTTTTTAAATTACAATAATCTTGAATTACAAAATAATTATTTTGTTTTTTTTATTAAAAAAATGAAACACTAAGAAAACATATTTTGCATAGGATTCCATTGGTTTCATAATAGTTATATATAAGAAAACCTTGCAAAATATAATTAAAATTACGAAAAGCTATAAAAGATATAAATAAATAAATAATTGTCTTGATTCAATCACATTTTTGAAGAAATGGAAAAAAAATTTATTAAAATTAAATATAGAATGTTTAAGAAAATTAAGAGGTGATATAGATCTAGTATAATAATACAATGTAATAAATACTTATGAATGCGTTTGTATTGAAAGACAGAAGCCGGATAAAGGCGAAAAGTGTGAAGAAAAAGAATACATATATATAAATTCATATTTGTATAAAAATTATTCTTCTTGTACTAAATTAACTGAAAATTAAGATATCATACAAAATAAAATGACAAATTAAGAAAGACAATTCATACCATGTAATTTTATGAAAACTAATAAAGACAGATAATATGCATTCAAACAGAAAACCATTTAAACCTTTAAGTAGTGAACCGAAATTTTAATCATGTAAATAAAACAAAAATTATATGAAATTATATGAAATCATATGAAATATATGCAATTTAATCAGTATAATTAGGTATGATATATGAAATAGATTATTAAGCGTTATACAAAAGAAATAGAAAAAAATTAAATAAATGCAAAATTGCTGATATTTCCTAGATAGTTAAACACAAACAAATAATTCATATATGAATTCACGCATTTCAATAAAAATTTTAATAAGGGCCGGGCCATACCAAAGATATCCTTTAAAAACTTTCTTTTTGTCGTGAATTTTTGTTTTCTTTATCCATTCCTTACATTAAGCAATTGCTCTCATGTGAATATGTGAGTGTGGGGTACATAGATCTGTTAACTTTTTTTCTAAATTAGGTTCGGTGTACAATAGTATTTAATTTGTATGTGCAAAATATGATTTTCTAAAACTGCAGTGTAAAGAAATGACACAAAAGATTAAACTCTACGTTGAGTTATTTTTATACAATCGTGTTCATTTATCATTTTATGTAAATTTTACTAGCATTTTAATTTTGGTTTTTATATACGATATTTAGTAAGAGTACCTTACATATCTAATTACAAATGCTTCCGCATTCTTCCTCTCAAATTCTTAATTTCATAGCTTTGCATTTATTTATAGTTAAATTTATGTGTTTTTCTCAAAGTCAAAGTCTGGAAAGCAATCGCTTTTGAAAACAATAAGTTCTATTATATAAATATGTTATTTCAAAATAATGTACCAAAATATGAGTATATATTTGATATGGGATATCAATGCAATTAATTTACCAGGTAGAATATTCCACTCCTGAGTTAATATTTATCTCTGCCACAAGCAATACATAAATCGAATAAAAATAAATTTGAAATATATTGTGTGAATTGTATCTGAACTCTTCCTATTTCTTTCAACTAGTAAAAGAAACAAAATACAAATTAAAAGATTTTCTAATTTTGCAAATCGTCTCTGCACTCGAAGACAATAGCGGACAAAGCTAAATTGCACTTTTTTCTTTTTGAATACTAATTTATTTGATTGTTTATTTGTGAAATTTATGAAAGATTTTGTTGTGATCTATAAGACAAACAAGCTAACTTAATACATGAAAAATACAAAATAAATTATTATAAATGTTCAAAAATATAAAAAGCAAATATATATATAAATATATATTAATATATATATATATATATAAACAATATTATTAAATAAGTATCAAATATTTTTGTACATAATAAAATGCTTAAATTAAAACTAACTGAAAAGATACCCCCGATTTATGATATACCACTAACAACTGAATCTTCTGAATGCACGGTATGAGAGGGGCACTAAAACCATAAACGCTATGCTAAATATTAGTATTAAGTAATTTTTTATATTTGAAATTTTTTATAAATAATTTGACTAATTCTTAAAACAACAATTCTTATTTTTATGTGTGAGAAAATGCGAATATAAAATATGAAAAACAATGATTTATGTTAATTTTTAAAAAATTTTTATTTATTATTTATTTAAAAAATATATTTAATAAAATAAAATAAAAGTATAACAAATCGACTTTTATTATTATTAATTTAATAATATGCCGTGTATTTCTTAACACCTTTTAGTTAAAATGTTCGCCAGATAATAATGTATCGATATAGAAAGAAATAAAAAAAAATCTTACAACTTGGTTTCTGCGTGAATTTGGTTTGTGGGTCCAGCGACAACATGACTATTTCAATGTCCGCTTATTGGAAGAGATTGTTTTCAGCAAAGAAAGTGTATGGATGCGAGTTTATAATAATAAGTGGAATAATGATGCCTTAATGCGTATTAATTTAGTTAACCTCTCTATAAGAACATATCTATCGACCTGCTGTACCATGGCGCTCTTATTATTCTATTGAATAAAGATAATAAACAAATAAATAATTTATTACCTTTGTATTGGGTGTACGCAACAGGTATTACGTTAATACTGCAGTTGTGTGCTCATAGGGTACTGAGATTCATATCATTAGTTGTACCTTCAAGTAGCTATATCTTGCAGATAAGCTAATACATGCACTCTATCAGCATATTGCAAGTGGGCTTAAAAAATGCTGTAGACAAACTATGTGCGTCTGACGTCTTGATTTTTTTCAGTCGCTGTGTAGTAACACCCAGTTCACTATACCTACGTCGGTAAATTTCAACACTATTATATCAGATTTTAAGTTTTTTCATAACCTTGTGCGTAATGCTTAAACCTCGATTTATTCTTGCAAAATTCTCTATTAACTTTGTTGATTTTTTCGTCTGAAAAAACCTTATCTTCCGACATTTCCGTCGACATTCTTAATCACACCTTTAGTACGCACCAAGATGTGGCTATTCTATCAGTATAAAAGTTGAATTGTAAGTTATATCCTAGCCTTGGCTGCAAGAAAGTAGTTGTCCGATTAAAGATCTAATATAAGATAGCATTATTGAACGATTACAAGTATAGTATACTAAAAGCGTGTCTTGCATTAATTACAAAAATGTAAATTATGGATGTAAAAGTTGAAATAATGGATACTTAGTTTCATGGATAACTAGACAGGGAGAATGGTGGTAATAGTTGTCTTGAGACCAAAAGCTGTTTCAAATTTCATTGTTTTAAAAGAAAATTAGTAGACATTGAGCACTTAAAAAAGCTATAAGGAGTACATGTTTTCCCTTAAATGCAGAAAAAAATGTATCTTACACATATTGTTAAAAGGGGGACTGAGAGTTATTAAATACAAAAATGTAATCAATATTTCGAGTGCTAACAGTTATTTTGCTAACAAAATGCGAAAAACAATTTGAGGACTTATATTTAATTATAAATTTATTTAAGTTCATGTGTTTCTTATATTCTTATAAATCTAATATAAACAATCTGTTGTAATATATAAAATCTATATAATAATATATAATAAAAACAAAATCAATTCAATTTCAATTAAACAAAAATTGTATGGCGAATTTTTGGCTCCATATGTGAGAAAGGATGATTCTGAAGAAACTATAGCTACAGCAAAATAACACGTCTCGATAGACTCGATAGCAATCAGTTTTGATGAGTGTGGATCCTGTTTGAAAAGTATAGCTTGGCTGATTTTGTAATAGACGAACGAAAAGCTAATTTGACCTGCGCTAGAAGAATGGCGTTTGCAAGGCACCACGGTATTGGCTTCGATAAAAAAATTTATCATAGTGGACTAAGATTGGATATCCATTATAGTGCTTTGAATTATTTATTAGATAAACACGCTGTTGTTCGGTTTAAGGTTTTGATATTATTAAATCTGGAACACAATTCTAAATAAATACAAACATATAAAAATACAATAATTATTTATATATAATTCGATTTCTTACTTTTTCATTAATTATTTCTGTTGTATCTTCTGCAGTCATCTCTATGAAGTGCACTTCCACATAGTAGACCCAAAATTGTTTTACTGTTATAAATCCATAAGGATGGTGTCCAAATTCTTTTTATTTAAAAGTTGAAAATATTATCTCTTTATATGGGTATTGAAAAATACCGTAAACTTAACGTTTACAAATTTTTTTATTTTGTCATGCGTGGATATACTACTCACTATTTATGTATAAAATAATGCATTTTATAATTGTTAGAAACGATTCTTATGTTGTTATTTTAAGTTTGTCATATACATAATTCAAAAACGAAATTACGATAAATATTAGTGGGCTGATAAAAAATCTTAGGAAGTCCTCATTTTAATTATACTCGTTTTAATTTGCGTATAAAGCAGACTTTAACTTGAACGATTCTAATAGATGAAAGCTGTAATATATAAAATCAAGTTTTATTTTCATTTTTTGCATTTAATTTACAATATATATATATGGTTTTACGAATATTTTTAAATTAAGATTATTTACCATTTATTTCCTTTACCTGTCACATTCCGTAAGCTTACTTCCCAATAACATGTCTATCGTTTCCTCGTGAAGACCATTATAATCGTTGGCTGCATTTAATAATTCGGATGTCATATCTCTTTATTTAAATATTTGGGGTGGGTGAGGTTCTTGTTGGTATTGAAAAATACCGAGAATGTAATGTTCTCCAATTACTAAATATAATTAGTTATAACCTCACCCAGAAGAAGTTGTGTTTTTATTGCGTTCAGCAAGATTTTAAACAAATTTGTATTAAGAAAAAAAAATATAGAATTTTTTTTAAAATTATTATTATTAAATAAATATTTATTTTACTTCCATTACCTACCGCAGTCTGTAAAATTTACTACCCAAGAACATATCTATCATTTCCTAATGACTACGTTAATGATCATTAGCTGTATTTAGATGTCATATCTCTGTATTTAAATATTTGGGGTGGATGAGGTTCTTGTTGGTATTGAAAAATACCGAAGATTTAATGTTCTCCAAGTACTAAATATAATTAGTTATAACCTCACCCAGAAGTAGTTGTGTTTATATTGCGTTCAGCAATATTTTAAGAAAATTTGTATTTAGAAAAAAAATATAGAAGTTTATTTTAAAAAACTAATAAATAATAATAATTTTAAAATTATTATTATAAATTAATATTCTCTTTAGAGGTTCCAGATTTTTTAGATAATATTCGAAAGCACGATGCTTACGAAATTGTCGCAGAATATTGGATGCATCCCGCATTGTGCAGGTGATGGAATTGTTGGAGTGTCTTGTGCGATTCCGTGAATTGTTCATGCTACAAACATAGACATATGAATGTTATAAAGTATTTAAAGAAGACGGAGATATGGTAGTGCAATCGCTTCGTCTAGTCCGCTGAAAACAGTATATGAGTCGTTGAAAATTATCTTGGCTTTATTTTGGGCATAAAATTTGCTGCCGCACTAGTGGTGTCAAATTAGCCCTATGCTGTTGAAAAATAACATTCAAACCAGATCACTGGACACATAATGTCCTGAGATTTTACATTTACTAATTAAATAGTCACAAAATCTATCTATATCAAATTCGTTAGAAAATGAGAGTAGGACTGACAAATCTTTTCAATAATAGCGGTATGGTTTATTCTTAATTTCTTCCAGAGGGACAAACGGTGAATAATAGTTCATATGGCTTTTACATCAACAATTTCCACCAAAACAGACAGAATTATGGAAGGCCAATTCATTGAATTCGCATCATGATATTGCGTCATCTTCCACGACCAAGCATCGTACTCATCTGACACGACTCCGAGTGATTTTTTTTAGTCTCTCAATTTAAAATTATCACTTCGAGAAAGGCTATTTTGATTTGATTTCGGCAATAAAATGCATTTAATATTTTATTTACAAAAAGTTAAGTAAATTGACATAAGTTGAAAATTCAAAATACAATAAGATATATATTATTAGAAAATCTTGGTTAACATGGGTTCAGCTTAAGAAGTGCATGCTCCATTACACATTGAAAATTATATTGATTATTATGGAGATTTTATATTTCTAAAATTTACTTTATTACAAATAATTTGATTTAATATATCGATTTTAAAATTTATGAACAATATGGTCCTAATTAAAAAATATTCATACAAATGTTTTTATATATTACATTGTTCATATTATGAAATTTATACGTATACTATAATGGGCAAAAAACTTAAAACATTAAAAAAAATATTTGTATGTCAAGAAAACTATTTCGACTATTTGGGATACTTCAGACTTATAAATAATATCTCATTATATATTTATATATGTGATATTTCGATTTAGTTATACACGAAGAGTACTGTGTTAATTACGAAGAATGTATATAAATTTCTAAGTTTATAACAATGACTTATATAATTATTTATACAAATAAACAACGTTGTGAAACTTTATAATATATGAAGATATACTTGATCATATTTCGAAGAAACTATTTAGATTATTTTTGATATATTAGATTTTTAAAAAATTCCTCATTATATACTTATATTTCCGATAAAAGTTCGATAATAGTAAACGAAGAATACTGTCTTAATTACGAAGAATGTATATAGATTTCTATGTTATAATAATGATTTTTTTATAATTATTTATACAAGTGAACAACGTTGTAAAACTTTATATTACCCGGAGATGTACTTGATCGTATTTCGCAGAAGCAATTCAGATTATTTTAAATATATTAGATTCAGAAGTAATACCTTATTATGTTCTTATATTTGTGATAGTTCGATTTAGTTACATGTGAAGAGTACTGTCTTAATTACGAAGAATGTATATAGATTTCTGTGTTTATAATAATGATTTTTATATAATTATTCATATAAGTGAATATCGTCGCGAAACTCAATAATATCTCGAGATATACGTGATCGTATTTCGAAGAAACTATTTAGACTGTATTTGACGTATAAGATTAATAAATAATACCTCATTTTATACTTATATTTGTGATATTTCGATTTAGTTATATGTGAAGACGATTGTCTTAATTGCGGAGAATGTATGGTATATAGATTTCTATGTTTATAATAATGATTTTTATATAATTATTTATACAAGTAAACAACGTTGTAAAACTTAATAACACCTGTAGATATATTTGATCGTATTTCGAAGAAGCAATTTAGATTATTTTTAATATATTAGATTTATAAATAACACCTCATTAAATACTTATATTTCTGAAAATAGTTCGATTAAGTTCTACGCGAAGAGCACTCTCTTAATTACGGAGAATGTATATAGAATCCTATATTTATAATAATGATTTTTCTATAATTATTTATACAAGTGAAGAACGTTGTGAAACTTTAAAATATCTGAAGATATACTTGATCGTATTTCGAAGAAACAATTTAGATTATTATTAATATATTAGATTTTTAAAAAATTCCTCATTATATACTTATATTTTTGAAAATAGCTCGATTTAGTTATACATGAAAAGTATTGTCTTAATTACGTAGAGTGTATATAGATTTCTATATTTATAATAATGGTTTTTCTAAAATTCTTTGTATAAGTGAACATCGTCGCGAAACTCAATAATATCTGGAGATATACGTGATCGTATTTCGAAGAAACTATTTATATTTTATTTGACGTATAAGATTAATAAATAATACCTCATTTTATACTTATATTTGTGATATTTCGATTTTGTTATAGTTGTGAGAATGACGATTGTCTTTAATTGCGGAGAATGTATGGTATGATAGATTTCTATGTTTATAATAATGGATTTTTAAAAAATTCCTCATTATATACTTATATTTGTGATATTTCGAATTAGTTATTCATGAAAAGTATTGTCTTAAGCACGAAGAATGTATATAGATTTCTATGTTTATAATAATGATTTTTATATAATTATTTATATAAGTGAACATCGTCGCGAAACTCAATAATATCAGGAGATATACGTGATCGTATTTCGAAGAAACTATTTAGATTTTATTTGACGTATAAGATTTATAAATAATACCTCATTTTATACTTATATTTGTGATATTTCGATTTAGTTATATGTGAAGACGATTGTCTTAATTGCGGAGAATGTATATAGTTTTCTATAATTATAATAAAGATTTTTCTATAATTATTTATACAAGTGAAGAACGTTGTGAAACTTTAAAATATCTGAAGATATACTTGATCGTATTTCGAAGAAACAGTTTAGATTATTATTAATATATTAGATTTTTAAAAAATTCCTCATTATATACTTATATTTCTGAAAATAGTTCGATTTAGTTATACATGAAAAGTATTGTCTTAATTACGAAGAGTGTATATAGATTTCTATATTTATAATAATGGATTTTATAAAATTCTTTGTATAAGTGAACATCGTCGCGAAACTCAATAATATCTTTAGATATACGTGATTGTATTTCGAAGAAACTATTTAGATTTTATTTGACGTATAAGATTAATAAATAATACCTTATTTTATACTTATATTTATGATATTTCGATTTAGTTATACACGGAGGGTACTGTCTTAATTACGAAGAATGTATATAGATTTCTGTGTTTATAATAATGATTTTTATATAATTATTTATACAAGTGAACAACGTTGTGAAACTTTTTAATATCTGAAGATATACTCGATCGTATTTCGAAGATTCTGTTTACACTATTTTTGATATATTAGATTTTTAGAAAATACCTCATTTTATACTTATTTTTCTGATAATATTTCGATTTAGTTATACACGAAGAGTACTGTCTTAATTACGAAGAATGTATATAGATTTCTATATTTATAAAAATTTTTATATAATTATTTATATAAGTGAACATCGTCGCGAATCTTAATAATATCTGGAGATATACGTGATCGTATTTCGAAGAAACTATTTATATTTTATTTGACGTATAAGATTTATAAATAATACCTCATTTTATACTTATATTTGTGGTATTTCGATTTAGTTATATATGAAGACGATTGTCTTAATTGCGGAGAATGTATATAGTTTTCTATAATTATAATAAAGATTTTTCTATAATTGTTTATACAAGTGAAGAACGTTGTGAAACTTTAAAATATCTGAAGATATACTTGATCGTATTTCGAAGAAACAGTTTAGATTATTATTAATATACTAGATTTTTAAAAAATTCCTCATTATATACTTATTTTTCTGATAATATTTCGATTTAGTTATACACGAAGAGTACTGTCTTAATTACGAAGAATGTATATAGATTTCTATATTTATAATAATTTTTATATAATTATTTATATAAGTGAACATCGTCGCGAATCTTAATAATATCTGGAGATATACGTGATCGTATTTCGAAGAAACTATTTATATTTTATTTGACGTATATGATTAATAAATAATACCTCATTTTATACTTATATTTGTGATATTTCGATTTAGTTATATGTGAAGACGATTGTCTTAATTGCGGAAAATGTATATAGATTTCTGTGTTTATAATAATGATTTTTCTATAATTATTTATACAAGTGAAGAACGTTGTGAAACTTTAAAATATCTGAAGATATACTTGATCGTATTTCGAAGAAACAATTTAGATTATTATTAATATATTAGATTTTTAAAAAATTCCTCATTATATACTTATATTTGTGATATTTCGATTTAGTTATACATGAAAAGTATTGTCTTAAGCACGAAGAGTGTATATAGATTTATATATTTATAATAATGGTTTTTATAAAATTCTTTGTATAAGTGAACATCGTCGCGAAACTCAATAATATCAGGAGATATACGTGATCGTATTTCGAAGAAACTATTTAGATTTTATTTGACGTATAAACTTTATAAATAATACCTCATTTTATACTTATATTTGTGATATTTCGATTTAGTTATATGTGAAGACGATTGTCTTAATTGCGGAGAATGTATATAGTTTTCTATAATTATAATAAAAATTTTTCTATAATTATTTATACAAGTGAAGAACGTTGTGAAACTTTAAAATATCTGAGGATATACTTGATCGTATTTCGAAGATTCTGTTTACACTATTTTTGATATATTAGATTTTTAAAAAATTCCTCATTATATACTTATATTTTTGAAAATAGTTCGATTTAGTTATACATGAAAAGTATTGTCTTAATTACGAAGAGTGTATATAGATTTCTATATTTATAATAATGGTTTTTATAAAATTCTTTGTATAAGTGAACATCGTCGCGAAACTCAATAATATCTTTAGATATACGTGATTGTATTTCGAAGAAACTATTTTGATTTTATTTGACGTATAAGATTAATAAATAATACCTTATTTTATACTTATATTTATGATATTTCGATTTAGTTATACACGGAGGGTACTGTCTTAATTACGAAGAATGTATATAGATTTCTGTGTTTATAATAATGATTTTTATATAATTATTTATACAAGTGAACAACGTTGTGAAACTTTTTAATATCTGAAGATATACTCGATCGTATTTCGAAGATTCTGTTTACACTATTTTTGATATATTAGATTTTTAGAAAATACCTCATTTTATACTTATTTTTCTGATAATATTTCGATTTAGTTATACACGAAGAGTACTGTCTTAATTACGAAGAATGTATATAGATTTCTATATTTATAAAAATTTTTATATAATTATTTATATAAGTGAACATCGTCGCGAATCTTAATAATATCTGGAGATATACGTGATCGTATTTCGAAGAAACTATTTATATTTTATTTGACGTATAAGATTTATAAATAATACCTCATTTTATACTTATATTTGTGGTATTTCGATTTAGTTATATATGAAGACGATTGTCTTAATTGCGGAGAATGTATATAGTTTTCTATAATTATAATAAAGA